GTGTGTGTGTGTGTGTGTGTGTGTGTGTAGGTCAGAGGACCACTGTGCAGTCGGTTCTCTTCTCCCGCTTTATGAGGGCCCCAGGGATGAGCTGTGTGTACAGTGTTGTTACTGTACATGTTGTTATAGTCAGAATAGGGAAGTATTGACAGCACATAGTTTGTGGTATATGTTAATATTGGTCTGTTAACGAGAGAGGGCCAACGGGGCTTTCTAGACTGTTGTACAGGGTCATCCCTAGACTGTTGTACAGGGTCATCCCTTCCTAGAAACTGGACTCTGATAAGGTTGCCAGGGTCTCAGTGTAGTGGAATCAGGGCACATCATGTGTATAAAAATGCTTCTTCCGTCTCTGCTCACTAAATGCCACAGGTAGTTTTACAATGAAGTCTGTGATGAGGTCCATGTTGCCTTGAATTCTTCCTCACGTCCGTCACATTAATAGGAGAGTTCTGATAGTTGTGGCGGCAGAGCTGCAAAGGGAGATGACCGCCAGGGACTCAGGGTTCATTCTCTTACATCCATGGGGTGCTGTGGTGCCTTGTGTAAGAACATAATTTAAATATTTTATTTAAATGAATTTAAATATTCAAAGGCACGCAAATACTTTCCTGGACATTGTTTGTTGTAGAAGTCGGGTGCCGGTGTCTAAGCATTTGCCTGGCGCTCTTCCTCGGTGTCTAAGCATTTGCCTGGCGCTCTTCCTCTGTGTTGCAGGAGCTCCACGCCCCGTTGACTGTTGTTGCAGATGGGCTCTTCTCCAAGTTCAGGAAGAACCTCATCTCCAGTAAAGTTTCTGTTTCATCTCACTTTGTGGGTTTCCTTATGAAGGTATGGAGGAGTTGTAATTGTAATTATAGGAAAATAAAAACCTGAAATTTTAAAGTTACTAAGATTTTTTTTTTCCAGAATGCACCACAGTTTAAAGCCAATTTTGCAGAGCTTGTTCTGCTCAACCCAAGTCCAGTTCTCATCTACCAGATCTCAGCCAGCGAGACTCGGGTACTTGTTGACATCCGTGGGGAAATGCCAAGGAACTTAAGAGAGTACATGGCTGAGCAGATTTACCCCCAAATACCTGGTAAGAAATAGGATTTTACCTTCCCTGTAATCTGCAGCCTAAAGCCAGTCTCACGACGGCTCTTCCCAATTCCCGAGGGCAGTCAGTGTCTAAAAGAGGCCCAGCGGTGAGCACAGCTCTTGGTGAGCGGGCAGTGTGTTTCCCGGGATATCGGAATATGTGGATGGTAGAAGCTACATATAGACAGCTGCCAGCTAACAGGCTTTTCCCTGTCTCCTCTCATCTCTCTGTTCTGTTCAGCTGCGTGTGTCATTTACTTCTGTTTTCTCTGAGTGTGAATAGTGCACACAAAGCTGACTAGGGGGGTCCAGCCCCCAGTCAGCACTAGGGTAGGTGAGAAACCCACAAATGCAGCGATAGCTTAGGAAAAGTTCTCACCTAATAGTTAGACCATTTTTACCTGAGGGGGAAAAATAAAGAAGAAACACAGATGCTTTCTGATGGCAACTTTCTCTTTATTTCATCTTGAAAAACTCCTCCCTGGAAAAGTCTCTCTTGTTCTCACAGTGCTCTCTTCAGCAGCTTCTCACTAATAATTTTGTGTCTTTCTCTCCCTGCCTTCCTCCGTTGCTGCCTTCTGTTCTTTCTCTCTCTCTCTCTCTCTCTCTCTCTCTCTC